CGACAAAGGGGCTGATCCTGTCACTATGATCACCCACTCAAATGAATTCTCAGACTGCCCCAACATGCCCAGGTTTTGACCCCCTTCAAGGATCTCCCTGATTGGCATATCAAAGACAGACCGATCCGACACCTAGTGAAGTGTCATAATCGAGTCTGGGGGTCAGGTGTAACTTTCCAGTTTTGCCCATCTGTCTCCAAGGTCTAGGGTAACACTGAAATTCTGGTCCGGTTCAAGTATTCGAGTAATCCCATACTGCATGTGCCTTGGGTCTTTCCCTGGTGGCCGAGACAAGCCATCCCAACACTTGGTTGCACACCAGTATCAGCCTTGGCAGGATAAATCTCCCCAGACTTATCCAACGGCTGTGAACATTTAAAACTAACACGTGTCTCACTAAGTGTCCAATTTTAGGGTCTTACATAGAATTATACCAAACAACATGAATCAAACATGCACTTTATTTATTTACACTAAATATCAAAAGTACATCAAATCGGATTGAAGCTAAGGGCATACAAAACTGTCTAACAACATTACTAGGTAATCCTGTCATCGCTTCCGTCGTTGTTTATTTTTCTTCTTCTTTCACATTTTTAAATTCCATCACCTTGTCTCTTGTTGCTGTTGGGATTTGAGGAGAGGGAAAGTTGACGGAGTCGGTGACGAAGTTCCACCGAATCGGCTCCTATAGGCTCTGTACTCTTACCCAATTCTGTTGTAGATTTTCCTTCTATGTTGTAATCATCTTTTGCATGTTCTTGCTATAAAATTGCTAGTTATTTAGGGATCTTATTATAATTTGTTCTTTCTTCTCTTGATCAATGTCAGTAGATTATATTTTAGATGGGTTAAAGTTAATAGAATTTGAATCTCGTTTCTTTCGTTTGGGTTGTTTCCTTAAGCCTATTAATTAGATTATAGTTTCTTTGTGCACCATTGTTCTAATATAAGTTTAGTAATTGTTTGAATTTGGTAGGACAAATTTATTGTTCTTGTCTGCTATTGTCATGCTTTTCGTTTGCTTAATTGATTGTTATCGTACCTGTCTAGGATATCATGTAGGCCCCACCTATTGGAACTAGGAGAGGGGTGCCTAACCCCTTCCCTCTCCCATCCAAGACCTACCCAAACTGGTTTAGCTGATGCCTTGGGCTTTGGAGTCACCATAGAAATAAAATGTTTTGAAAATCATTCTAGGAGGTCCCATCGCCTCCATTTGCTAAATTGATGGGTGGCAACTCTATTTCCAGCCCAAGTGGCAAGTAAGCTGTTTTCTAACGCTTACAACTACTAATTACCTTTTAACAGTCACAATGTTTGAAATTGTGATTATTCAAAGAGTCTTTTCTGAACCAACACCTTCTTCTTCTCCATGATTCTTGAAAAACTATTTAAGGAATGTGAATAAGCAATTGAACACAAGTTTTTGAAAAATCACTCTTGTCTCTCTCAGTTCGATCTGCTACTATCTCACATATGGTTTTTTTGAAGACTCTTCAATTTTGTTAGTTACAGATTCTTGCCTAAGGTTCTGTTGTATCGTGTAACCGAATTTACCTGTAACCCAACAACAAACTCAATATAACTAAGTAGGGATAAATAACATTTCAAAAACAATATATTCAGACACAACTCACAACGCTTCTCCACAAGATTATGTGACCCCATTTTTTTCAACAATTGCTCCGCTCCCCTGGCTCCAAATTTGAAAGCATCGACAGTTTTAAGTTGGAAACCGTTCAGTGGTGAGTTCTGATCTTATTTACACGCGTCAAATTGATGATTCAAAGCAACATTTTCTTTTTTAGCTGAATAATATCTAGGGATATAGACAAAGATGAAAGCATCGACAATTTTAAGGTGAAAACCATTCAATGGTGGGTCCTGATCTTATTTACACGCGTCAAATTGATGATTCAAAGCAACATTTTCGTTTTTAGTTGAATAATATCTTGGGATATAGACAAAGATGAAAGAGATGAAGATAAAAGAAGGATATAAACTTGTGTAGGAAATAAGAGAACAGGTTTTACCTTTTACGTCAGATGATAGGATTGAAAGAAATTAATTGTTTGTCCTTTTAGGCATTAATGAGAAAACATTGCTTTATCCACTTTTGCTGCTAGTAATATTGGACGGGATGCAATGCGGCACGTCAACTTTATAAGTCTATATCTCATGGTCATGGCCCGTAGTTTCGGTTGTTTATAAGAAAGAGAAACAAAAGCTACCGCTAAAATAAATAGAATTTCATGAATCATAATTTTCTCTTCTTTGTCCGCTGSACCACCATTAAACCAGAATCATAATTTTAAGTCCTTTCAACTCTCCCACCCATCCAACAACATTGTGCCATGAACGGACCCAAATTATTCTCCATCAATCAAAAGATAAAAAAACGAAAATTACAAATACAATACCCACGTGCTTTAACATACTAAACTGGATGTATTCTCTACAATTTTCTACCAAATGTTCATACGATTTTTGCCTATAAATGTGGCTATCCGAACACCATGCACCATCGCCAAACTGAGAAAATCTAGAGAAAGGATTGAGCTTGAG